GCACAACCATTCTTCGTTCATCTTTGTCCAGTACCCAACATGCATTCCGCTCTCTCTCCAAGTCGAGTTCTTCGGCCACCAGGAGCTTTCCGACGCAAAAGTATGAGTGGAATCTGAAAATAAGCTGTGAGCCAATAAATATCAGTGTAGCAAGCTTGATGCACTGGCATATACGCGATAAATACTGCAGATGTGATTCAAGTTGTCTTCGGAAAGGGTGGCATCCTCGTACGCAACACCTTTGAGCCAGTGGACCACCTTCTCGTCAGATTCCTCGGAAGATCCAAACGACACTCTGCTCAGGTCCATCTCTTCGTACGCCAGGCGCCATATGATACCACCTCTTCCAAAGGCTAAGCGAATATTTGGATGACGCAGTACAGCGCGGCAGCGCTCCAAATAAAGCATGTAGTCGAGAACCTCTGATTGATAGCCTAGTTATCTGAATCCAAGCTCTTGCCACCCGCCAATGGGAGGTGGTTTGACAAGCTGGCATGTCGCGGACAATGGCCACAGCATCACGAAAGAAATGCCATGCTTGACTATTTCTTGTGCGTTGTCTTCCTTCTCCGGTCCCCACTTGTGCCGAACAATCTCGAGAGCGGTCGCAGCTTTGGTGATCACCAGCATCCATGACTGATTGCCGGCTGTGTCCTCAGTGGACCGCCAGATATACAGCACGGACCCTTGTGTATCACATTGCAATCTGGTAGAAGCTGCTTTGTGCAGAGCGAGGTGTCGAGTGCATGTTGGGAGGAGATTGCACAGTGAACCCAAGGAGGAATCCACGGTAACAGACAAGCGGAGCATTACATGGTTGACAAAGTTGTGAATAGCCGGCTGTTCAGGTCCTGTGAAACTGCCAGAGTGTGGAAGCTGAGCAAAAAGCTGCATGACGGTTTTTGTATCCAGCTTCTGATCTTCTTTGTGTTTAGTGGGCATGTAAGAGAGCTCTGCATGAAATCCATAACACGCCGCGAAAATGAGAATGAGGTCTTCGGTGTCAACAGTTGCATCACTATACATAGTCTTGCTGCCACTGAGCAGTGTTGTAGCTGTGGCAGAGAGCGCCATGGCGTCTCCCACTGCTCTTCGTCTAGGACTGGGGCACACGCTGAGAACGTGAACACACTGCCTGCGCCAGGAGATCTTGACCAAGCTCTTGTAAGAGCCCGGTCACTTACACTTGGAGCGGCCGTGTCAGGAGCTATCTGTGTCTCCCATCCGTCATTCTCATCCTCGTCCTCATTGAAGACCGAATCTTGGTAGATTGAATCTGAAGTGAGCATGTTCCAGCCTTCGTATGATTTTTCCACTTCGCCTGGAGGACTGAGGAGCATGGATACATCCCACTCATTGCCGAAACTGTGGTAAACGTGGTGGCATTCCTTCGTGTCTTCCCAGAAGGCCTTGTATTTGGACAGCCAGACGATCTCTCACAGCCAGTAACCTCGAACCTTAACCCAGTGATAAACAGTGGCTCCCTTTCAACAATTGATGTTCCTTATGAAGACGAAGACCATGCAAGCGCAGCTTTTTTGTATGCGAACTTCCTTTTCACAGGCGACCAGCAATTCAACCATGGTACGAACAGGGCTGTAGAGGGATTGTGCGAAGTTGTTTTTAAAACATTCCTCTAGTGTTGTTCCGTAGTAGTACTACAAGGGAACGCGCTCTCCTGGCATCTTCATGATTTGTTGAATATTGTCATGCCACTTTGGCATTGCCGAGCCCGTCATATTGACAAAGCCGCCCAGTCGCTGCCTGCTCCAGTTGCATATCCAGGAAGAACACAGCAGCAAGACGACTACAGGGCTGATGATGCCTTCTTGCAGCATGCTTCAACACCACACACTCTGTTGGTGTAGGGGCATCACAGTCTCCAGGCAGCATAGTTGATAGGACAGAAGTGCGGACAGTGAGATGAATGCTGCATGGGCCATACCAATCGCTTTGCAAGTGGCTTTACGGGTGGCAAAATATCGATTAAAGCCATATGAAGAAGGAAGTCAGGGAGGACGAAAGCCGAGTGGGTGAAGAAGGGCCCCCCATGAGCTCACGTGCATTTTGCACTCCACCAAGAAGTGTTCAAGTGAGTTCCATTCTTCAATTGCACGTAAAGGAAGTCTGTACATCGTGCAACAGTTCCCATCTTCAGAAACGTTCTCAATAGGCGACAACAATGGGTCCAATGTGTGCAGGGTCAAATCATCATACGAGTTTCCCTCAGGAACAAATATTGTGTAGAAGAAGTCATTGTTTGCCCAGCAGTGATTGCATGCGCTGTAGGGAGTGAGGTATGGCTGATTCATCGGGGGAGCATCAGGCATAAACCCACTATCTGGCGAGATATACACGTCGTAGTTGTCATCCTTCCCACGTACGAACACTGTTGTGGGCGACATATAATATAGTCTTGACAGAACAGTGTCAGCATAGATGCCAACATCTGTCTGACAGTGCTTCTTCACATCTGTACAGAAGCAGGTTTCGAGGGTGTTTGCTGCACAGCGGGCCGTACGTGGCAAGATATTCTGCATCACATATGTTCAGGAAGAGCACAAGGAGATAATTCTCCAGCACTTGTATGGAAGCATGTTTCAATGGTGTTTGCTGCACGGCAGGCCATACGTGGCGAGATATTCTGCGTCACGTATATCCGGGAAGAGCACGAGAAGATAATTCTCCAGCACTCATAGGCCTCTACACAGACTGGAATATTTCGCAGCCACGTATCAGTAAGGAAGAAAAGTGAGTGGGCGGCACGCTATATATCAGGGAGAACCACATGCTGATGCAAACGCCAAGCCTAGAGGCAGAATTGATATGGAGGGCAGCGCATCAGCCTGTGCACCATCAACATGTGACTCTGCCCAATATATGCTGTCCCACCCACGCACTCTCCTTTCTTACCAATACGTGGCTGCAAAATATTCCAGTCTGCGTAGAGGCCAACAAGTGCTAGAGAATATCTTCCTGCACTCTGCCTTCTTCCTTACTGATACATGGCTGAGAAATATTCCAGTCTGTGTAAAGGCCGACGAGTGCTGGAGAATCATCTCCTCGCACTCTTCTGGAGTCAACCGCTCCTCACATTGTCCTGCGTTGTATATCGCCCTCAGTCTCAACTGCAAGTTTGCCCTGCGGGAGCACCCGCTCCTCGCATCATCTTCAGTGTGTCATGTCGCTCTATTCTGGAGAGCATCACACTGAAATATTTGCAATTCTACAGTGCACAGGGGAGGAGACCGTAACAGAAATCTGAAGCGTTGGAATCTGAGGTGCCCTATACTCAGACATGTGCATATGATCACGTCAATAAGTGCATCGCAGAAGTTAGCCATGTGGTTATATAATAGTGCTCGCAATGCATTTATGTCACAATCCCCCCATTCACTCATATTATAGTCTTAATACACCAGTATAGCAAAGCTTAGAAGTCAGTCGCAGATCAAACACCAGGTGCTTGATCGCCCTTGGCTAGTTTGGTGAGAATCTTCCTGTTCTGGCGCATGATCATCTCATCTAAGAAGAAGTTGTGTCTATCAGCGCGCATCTCCCAACACATCAAATTGTAGTTGGCAAGCCAAATGTTCATTTGCTCAGCAATAGATGAATTGAAGTACCACTTGCCATCCGGTGCCTTGAGCTTGGGGAACGAGGCTGGGTTACAGTACTCTTGGCAGAACATGTCGCTTTCCTTGTGCTTCGTCCTAAAGTGAAAGGCGTCAACAGAGAGGTTGATATCATGAAAGAACAGATCCCCCGCCCAATCAATGAATTGCTGCAGGATGCAGTTGCTGTCAAAGTAGACATGCTCAGGTTTGAATGGCCTGCCAGCATATGTGAGTTTGATAAATTCCTGACAAAATGAAGCACTGTGAGAAAAAAAGATGGCTAGGTAGGGCACATATACAGACTGCCACAGAGCTTATAGTCTCCGCACAAAAGAACGTGGCATAGGTGACAATCATGCTGCAAGGCGCGACAATGATTTGCTTGTTATGAGTCGCTTGCAACTAAACTGTGCTTGCACCTTTGCACCATCATGATTCCGACCACCTGCAGACCTGCGCAGCAGAGCATTGCCAGTGGTCGATGTAGCAGAAGAGCCTTTCCCAAGATGTGCAGAGAGTGTGTCGAGCGCAGCCTGAGCCTCAGTCTTGTGTGCCTCCCGCGTCAAAATGGCCTCGGAACAACAATGCGCTTATTCAAATACGATCATCAGGAATAGAGTGAGGCAGAGAGGCAGAGAGGCACACACCACAGCCTGTCCACCTCTGCCTATTACAAAGTCCTCTTCCAACATGACCTCAGCCGAATCGTACTTCTCAGGGTCTTTGGATTCTGTTGGCCTGGCGGTGGCAGCATCATTGACCCTTTGAGTGCGCTCCAGAGTCTCAGCAAGGCTGAAGCGCGATTGACCGCAGAGGTGATGCAGGCCCTCCACACTCAAGTGAACAGGATCGTCGCACACGTGACAACCCTCAGCTACAGGACGGTTGCAGCCAATGACCGTGCAAACATTGTCTAAATGGTGGTGCATTGGACAGAACCTGTGGCGTTGACTTTCAAGACCCTCATGGCAAGTGTGAATGGAGCAGCAAGGATGCCCGATCGTCACCCTGTCGACGACCACGCACTGCGTCTTATTTAGTCACAGACAGGACATTAGCCAAGACGTCGGCTAAGAACACAATATACATGTACACACTGGTAATAATACCCCGGTCATCAGTCCGAAACCTCACGCATTTCTTGCAGTAGTGAGCAACGTCAGGGAGGCCTTCTAACCAGATCGTACCATTGCAGAAATGGACAGCTGCAGTGAACCGATCTCGTTGAGTACCGGTGTGTGGGAGCTGGAGCTGGATTCCGCGCTGACAATAATAGTCATGGAGACAGAATAGCGTGAATGCGCTCCAAACGTGCTCAACCCCTAGCGTAGGATCAAACAGCCAATCCTGAGGAAAGGGGAGATAGCAGCCAATCTGACCGAGCACGTCGTTATGGACGGTTGAGCACCCAGTCGCCGAAGTCCTGGGAATGTTATGCATTCAGCTCGGAAGCGGAAGTAGGAGATAAATACATACCAGCAGGTTATCATCAAGTTGATCTAGAACTCTATGAGATGGCATTCGATAAACTGATGTTTGCCGACCTGAATCGCACCAGAGGTCGAGAGGTAGTATGTTTGAACACCATTGTAGACCAAGTATTTGTGCTGGTAGCTCATGTTGCAAACTGCAGAACATAGATCAGAGAGCTTAAGATTCAGAAGAGGCCTGGAGAACAACATACGTCAGCAATAGAGATGAACCAACTCTGCAGGAAGAACGCGCCTATTGAGAGTAAAGAGCAGTACTTGTCGCACTTCTTCCTTCTTCAATACCGAGATGCCGCGACAGTTTATGTTGACACAAAAGTGTTGCGGCGGGTAGAGAGTCATCCCAGCTTTAGGGAGTGAGTGAAACGCTCCGATAAGATGAGGCCGCAGGACATACTCAGACCGAATGGGCAACCAAAGCGCCTGAATGTGTCCATTGGATGCTCTCCAAGCGTCGCCATATATTCAGCATCTCAGACCAGGTGCTTGAAGATGCCCCAGCACTGCGCCACGTTGGTTGTACTGAGCCTTGTCGAGACTGATAAGAATTTGGTTAGGATGGGCAATAGGTAGCTGGGCAGAATGCCAGGCGAGACAGTTGCTGGTTGAACGAGGAGGATGTGATCTTTGAGCCAAGTGGTATGGCGCAGAAAGGCGTATATGTGCACAAGGGACAGTGTGCCCAGCAGGCCCTCATGCTGCTGGAGAGCTTGGGGTAACTCATGTAGATTGTTCATGGTGTGATATGAACTAGCTAGGTACATTGCGTACGGCATCGCCTCTGGCCCTCCCCTTCTGCTCCGCCTCTGATTCCTTCCCTCCTCGCCGCCAGCCTTCCTTTCTTGCATTGCCTTCTAGGGGCTGCACTCGTTTCAATTCGGAATGCCAATTTTGTACAGGTGTCTATCATTGCTGCTGCTTTTGGAGAAATTTCGATACGATCAATCAACCCCCAAATTGGTTTATTACTACATATGGTCTAATTGGAAGCGCTTATCTACATTCAGAACCCGGAATCCGGAACATTCAGGACGTCCAACTCAAGGACGTCCTCAAGATGAAGGAAGCGCAGCTAAGATATTCTGGGCAAACTCCTGATCAGTCATGAGACTGCCCATTGAGTTGTGCTGTTGATGCAGCTGAGATAGCTGCTGAATAGCTGGTTCCATCGCCACTCCCTCTGCAATGTCTGCCTTCTGCAGCCTCTTCAGTACAGTGATCCTCAACATGACACTGACATTTGCATAGGTGTTCTGAAAGGCGTCCC